GTCCCCAGCTTCGATGCGGTGGTGGCTGCCGCAAAGGAGACGATCAAGAAAGGATGAAGGGGATTTGGAGCCGTGGGCCCGGCTTGGAATGTATCATAGCTTTCTTTTGTGTTCGGGATGGAGTCCTGGACTACGCCGACGCGGCGCACCGATTTTCCTTTCGAGAAGAAAACAAAGATGTGAGTGCGTGGTTTCGTTTTCTTGAAATACATGTGAAGCATGAGTTGTTTGAGCTTGGTTTGCCGCTTGGATTGCTTGAGCTTGAGCTTGCTTGTGCCCGAAACCCCTTTGAAAAGCACCAAATCCCGAACCTTAACTTCAACCCCAACCGAACCACCGCCAGCCTATACAGGAATGGTCTTGGGCCAGGACTGGATGTCATGGCCATCGTGGCCGTCTTGGGCTTCTGCAGCCTCTTGGGTGGTCTAGTGTTCTGGGGGTTCCACATTTTGTTTGTCGAGTTTGAAAGGTGTTCTGTTGGAGAAAAGGATCGGAAGGTCTTTAGAGTGAGGCCGCGCAGGAAGGGCTGCAGTGTTAGGATCTTTTGTGGGGACCACTGGGTCCGAGTGCCTAGCTACAAGCAGTTTGTCTTGCATAGGAAGGCCCCAAAACCCCAAACACGTACACGTTGCATGTTGAACATGTTGTTTTGCAAGGCTTGCAGTGTGCTTGGGAGTGTTTGTGCTTGGCTTGGTGTGCTTGATGTTGTTGAAAAGGGCAATGATGAGAGCCCGCCGGCGAGCAGTCCATTAGTGTGTCATCTGCGGATGATGCACAGAGGACTGCCAGTGCCGGGACAAGGGACTGAAGCTGAGCCCTTTGATTTGGAAGCTCCTCGTGGTGGGGAGCCCGGGTCTTCGTCTTCAAGGGTCCCCGAAGGAGTTCCGTCACCGTCAAGTCCTGATTACGAGCCTTCTGAGGTTTCTGAAAGACCCCCCAAGCCTTCAGAGAACCCACCGGAACCACCGGACAGTGGAGAAGAAGGATCTTTTAGGATTCCGTTGTCCTCAACCGCCTTGTATCATCATCGTGCTCAAGGCCATTTCCCTTATGATTCCAACTGTGACTCATGCTGTTCGTCGAAGGGTCGTGTCCCCGCGCGTCGCTTGCGTCGCCGTCTTCAAAGAGAGAATCAGACTGTTGGTCTTGATTTTTTCTTTTTCGGCAAGCTAAGGGTCCTGTTGATGACACACCTGGGTTCAAGGTATACTGTCAGTCTGCCTGCACCGAACCTCGAAGATCCACAATTGCTTGCTAACATCAACAGAGTGCTGCGTGAGATGGGACTGGTAGGCAAAGCCGTGACGTTTCGAATGGATCAAGAAGGATCTATTATTGCTTTGGCAGAAAGACTGAGTAGGTCCCGAAACTGCCCCCACAGCGCAACAATTGTTGATGTGGTTCCAGGATATAGGCCACAAGCCAAAGGGTCAATAGAACGACAAGTTGAATCGGTACGCCAAGGCTTCTGGGCTGTGTGGTTGGACTTGGAGCGCCAAATTGCTCTAAAGAAGTTCCCTGGTCAAGATGCAGAGCTGGGAAAGTACCAGCTTCCCTTAGGGGGTCTCTTGTGGCAAGCCTGTGTGTTCTATGTTTCGAGGTGTTACAATCTGTGGTCCTCGAGCCACGGTGACTCCACCACCAGCATTGATTTGCTGCACGAGGAAATAGTTCACCGAACTAGAACGCTTCCCTTTGGTTGTGTGGTTCAGGCAAAAGTTAGCAAGTCGAAGGCGCATCTTGCTAAATACCGGGGAGCGAAAACAGTCAAGGCTGTTTACTTAGGACCCGTGAACGCACGAGGTGGAGGGATCTTCGCGGCCCCTTTTGGTAGTACGGAGATTGACGTATTTCCGACCGGAAGAATCGTTGATGGAGCGTGCGAGGTGGGAACTGTCGAAGGCCTCGCTGTTGCGCAGTCTTTGGTTCTTGATGGTAAAGACCCAGAACGGCCTGTCTTGTATGAACCCGAAGGTGTTGATGATGGTAATGGTCCTGAAGATGAAGTCATGGAAGGTGGTGTTGGTCCTTTAGATGAAGAAGACGAAGAGATGATTGCTGATGATACCTATGCTCCCGTAAGTGCCCCGGCGGAAGAAGGTGAGGCAGGGATTCTGCCTGATGAGGGGGAAAACATGGAGGACATGGAGATTGATTGGCTTACGAATCACCTCTTGGAGTCTTTGTACCGAGGACCTGACGTTCGAGCTACCTCACAGGAGGTGGCTGATTCGTTTACCTTGAAATTCGGAGGAAGTAGGGTCAAGTGCCAGGTACCACGAAATGCGGTCTCTGAAACATCCGGAGAACAGTTGGATCCGAGCCTTTTGTATGCCTCAATGAAGTTGGAACTAGAGGAACTCGAGTCGTTCGGAGTAGGAAAGGTGATCTCTGAAGATGAGGCCCGAAAGTCCGCACGTGAGAGCGGCAGGCGGGTGCTTACCAGTCGGTGGGTCAACACGGTCAAGCGTAAAGGGCTGTACCGGTCACGTCTGGTAGTAAGAGATTATGCTTCGATGGGAGGCACGACCTTGTCTGAAGGTATCTACAGCCCGACTACGAGTTTGGAGGGATTGCGGCTTCTATTGGCACTGCTTTGTCGAAGAGGTTCAGTGTTGAGCTGTGACGTGAGCGTTGCTTTTATGCATGCAGCAGTGTCAAGGCCTGAGTACGTAGAGCTTCCGAGTAACGTGAGTATTGCGGACTCTAAAATCCCTCAAAAGGCCGGAAACAAGAAAGTGTATCTTCGATTACACAAAGCCATGAACGGACTGAGATCAGCACCGCTTTCTTGGTATAAGGAGCTGAGTTCGCACTTGGAGCAGAGCGGATTCAGTCCAAGCTTGGACCCGACGATATACCGCAGGAAGACCTCCAAGGGTCTGACGCTGGTCCTCTTCTATGTTGACGATTTGTTAATCTACTCTGAGGACCCCTCCGAAGGGAAGAAGGTTTTCGAAGATCTACAGAAACGCTACAAGCTGAAACTAACTGGTGAGCTTCATGAGAATGGTGCGGCAGAAGTATCCTTTCTAGGACGGCGAATCTTCAGGAATAAGGGAGAGAAGCGAGTCTATTTTGGACTGGACGCTAAGTATTTGGATTCCTGCTGTGAAGAGTATGGGATAACCAAACCGAACCCCAAGCTTCCGTCGTTGGAGAAGCGCTACTCTGACCTCATTAAGAAAGGGCAAACCGAAAAGATCAGTCCAGCTGCTCACGAGAAGTACCGTAGGACCTTAGGGCGTCTAGCATGGGCTGCCCTCTCCAGACCAGATTTGCAGTTCTGCTGCGGATTTTTGGGGCGTCATCAGTCGGCCCCTGACGAGGCAGCTGAAACATGCATGAGGGATGTCCTCAAATGGGTCAAAGGTCTTCCGCATAAGGTTCAGGTGTTTCCGTCGACTCGGGAGATCCTGGAAGCCGATGCGGATCCCCAAGCGGTATCGTGCTTTACGGACGCAAGCTGGAGCCTGAATTCTGTTAGTGGTGGTGTGATTACTTGGGAAAGCTGCTGTCTAACGACGTTCAGCAGGAAGCAGTCCACCACAGCCCTTTCGAGCGCCGAGAGTGAGCTTGCGGCGCTTACTGAAATAGCCAGGGAAGGTTTGTACATTGCTCTCTTGACGGAGACCATCTTGGAGGGCATCCCGAAGGACCGGGAAACGGGGTACTACCTTCTTAAGGGGTATTCGGACTCTGAAAGCGCCGTGTCCATTTCCAAAATGGGGACATTGTTGAGGAAAGTCCGCCATATTGAGTTAAGAGCCGCTTTTCTCCAAGAACTTGTCCAGCTGGGAAGATTCACGATTGAGCACATACCAGGTGCTGTCAACCCGGCAGATGCTCTAACAAAAAGCCCAACTAACGACAGTTTGGTCAGTTTGTGCGAGGCTTGTGGCCTCATTCCGGAACCAGTCCCCTGGAAAGAGAGAAATTCCGGAACCAGCGTTTCTGTCACGTTTCAAGAGCCCAATAAACCAGCAGATGAAGTCTGCGAACTGAACGTCCCTGTTTCTTGGCGAGCCGCAGCAGAGAAGGTAGCAAGGAACCAGGCTTCTTATGTTGTGGTTGAGCTCTGCTGTGAAGAAGGAAGCTCTTTGTCAAAAGCTTGCTCGAAGAATCCTCGTATCGCGTATTTTGGAGTGACGAAGCAAGTGGATCTGTTAAGCGAAAACGGATACCAGCTTCTCAAAGAAGTCTTTAGCGTGTTACTTCATGAGGGGTGAAGGTGTATGCGCACTTGTCTACGCCGTGTTCGGCTGGGTGCGGACTTCGTCATTTGAGATTTCGAAAAGGTGGACAGTCCTACGCCAGGTGGCGGGAGTCTCTTTTGGTCCACAAGAGGTCTTGGCGAAGGATTTGGAACCTTCTCCGTCCGTACGCGAACTGTCCGCGTCTTCTTCTTTCTCACGAGTGGCCAGCTAGGTCTGACTTGTGGAAGGAAACAGTCTTTAGGTCTGTAAGTCAACGTCTTGGTCTTGCGAAGGGATGTGTCGTCGATCGCTGTTGCTTCGAGAAGGGTTCTGAAAGAGCCTGGAAGAGATGGTGGTTTTGTAGTAACTCTTCGAATTTCATCAACATTATGGCTAGGAATCGGTGTGATGAGAGCCACCAACACATCCATCTTCAGCTCCCGGCGTCAGGTGTGTACCCTGAGCTGTTAGGAGAAGAAATGCTGAAGGGTGCGAGACGAGCTATGGAAGAAGACAGGACTTGAGGACGCAACTGTTGCAGGCATGAGGGGGTGTGAAAGTTTTTGACTGGCTCAAGTTTCGGCTCAGACCCCGGTGGGGTGTTGTGGTAGGAAAGCGGCTGTGAAACAAGCCCTGAGGCCCAAACCTTGTGTGGGGGAACAGGCTCCATCTTGAATCCCAGTCTCTTTGTAGTGCCATAGCATACCTTACCCACCGGAAAGGGGTTCGCTCCTAACGGGGGTTGACCAACACACCCTCCCACCGTCATCGGGGGAGAAAGGGTGGTCAACACAGCCTCCCGCAATGGGTCGGGAATACACTGTTTGCAAGGGCTGCGGAAATTGGATCTACACAGATCTAATCACGCAGGACCTCAAATGCAAGAAGTGTGCAAAGACCTGGCCCACCAAGGGGAGGCGTCCTACAGTGTGGGAATCTGCCACCTGGAGGAACCCCAAAACCCCTAAGCCCAAAGCCCAGAATGGGGAGGCAATGGGGGGCACGCCCAACCCGCCGTCGCCCAAGCCGCCTCGAACCCCTAAGGTCTACAAGGCCTTGGAAGGGGTATGGGAACAAATTCCCGAAGCTGCCCGTGTTGAACTCTCCAAGGCCGGTTTCAGGGCCCCGTGGAGGACAAGTCGTCGGATGAGGTGGCCCTTCTGGACTTATTGCAGGCCCACATTGGGGATTTGCCAGCGGACGTCCAGACAGCGCTGCACAACAGGAACAAGGTTCCTGATGTTCCGCCAGAAGAAGCCGCCATAACAGCCACGAACGAGCTCAAAGGGGCATCTACCAAGCTGCGGTCCTTAGGCCACCGCAAAATTCGTCTCCAAGCCAAGATTGACGAATCGAAAGCCGCCCTCAAAGCGTTGTATGTTGAAATGCAAAACTTGATGCAAGAGCTGAAAGCGGCTGAGGAAAATATGGAAACCCTTGCCAAGACCTTCCGGGACAAGGTACTTCAGGCGCCCGTTCAAGAAGAAGATGAGGACTTTAATCTGTCCGAGGTGCTTGGAAGCATTGGCCTTTCCCTTGATGAAGCCCAACTCCAAAAGGTGCGGGATGCTCAGGCCCAGCACAAGCTCCAGCGAAGGCAGAAGGCTGCGGAGCAGCTGCTGGCCCATGCCGGTTTCCCGCCTGGATTGGGGGGGAGTCCTCCAGGTATAGGGGGTCAGGCCATTGCAGCCCAGTTGGAAGCCATTGGGGTGACCCTGACCCCAGACCAAAAGAACATGGTAATCACTGGGCAGTGGCCCGGCCCCTCACAAACAATCGACCTCAAGGCGGCGATTGAGCAAGGATGCCCCAACATGGAAATCGAAGACCTTGAGCTAAGACGAGAAGAACTTGAAGTGCAGCTTGAGCGCAAACGACGCAAGCTGGCTACCCAAAGCGCCTCCCCACCCACCTCTGTCAAAGAAGGGGGCAAGGAAAAAGGGGAGCGCAGCCGCTCGCCCAAAACCAGGAGTTAGGAACCCGGCCGGGAGGGCGCCACGTGGGGTTTAATAGTGGGCTATTGGCCTCACCAGGAGCCCGACCTGTGGCCAGGAGGTTCGGAAGCCGAACAAGGTTTTGTCACTGTGTATAAAAAGAAGTGGAAGGCGAAGGGCCAGCTTTCTTGGTCCAAAGACGTTGAGAAGGCTAGCACCCGTGTGCCCTCCGCGAGCCTTTCAGGCAATCCCGAGTCTCAGGCTGTTTTGACCACACCATCCAAGCCGGGGACGGAGGACGATTTTGACCCTTTCCCCCTTTCTAGGGGGGTTTTTACAAACAATATCTCACCTGAGTGGAGGGAGTTCGGTCCTTCCCCGATCAATCTCTACAACCGGTTTTCAGCCCTGGCGGAAGACGAAAATCCCAACGATGAATTCACCTCCCTCCTCCTCAAGGCCAAAGACCAGTCACTTGCTGCATTTGAGGAGGAATTGGTGGAACTGGTGGACAAAATGCCGATCCGCCAAGGGTCTCTTGAGGAATGGGCGGCCAACCATGCATTGCATCAACTGGCCACTCACAGAAACGAACCTAGTGTTTGTTTGGAGGCAATTGCAGATGCAAAAAGGCAGCCCAAAGACGAACCAGCAAAATTTGAAATCACAGTTGCCAATGTCACAAGATGGAGAGCTGAGATCAAAACGTGGCTCCTAGATAGGCGACCACAGGGGGTGTGTCTCCAGGAAACCCACCTCACAGCCAAAGAACAGCAACTTGCCATCCATCAGTTGGACCAGGCCGGGTACGCTGCCTGGACCCTACCGGCCCACCCAACTGAGGGGGGCAAAAACTCTGGAGGCGTCATTATTGCGGTTGAAAAACATCGAAATTTCCGATTCCTGAGATCCTTTGGTGTTGAAGGTAAAGGGTATGTGGCTGTGGTAGGTAGAACCGGGAAGAGGGACATTGTTTTTATTTCCATCTACCTTGAAACCAGTGTAGGCCTCACTGGAGGACACAACCCCACCATTGTCGGTGATCTTATTGCCTTCATTAAAGGCCTCACCATTGAATGGTTTGTAGCGGGGGATTTCAACCTCCCACCACAAGACATACTCGAAACCTCGATTGAGTCCCTCCTGCGCGGGAAAGTGCTAGCTACTAACGAGCCCACCATCATGGGTGGCAATGAAATCGACTTTGCCATAGCTAGCCACACCGTCTCAAATGGGCTTGAAATCAAAACTGATTGGGACGTTCCCTTCAGGCCCCATTGCGCCATTCGGTACACACTCAATGTGGGGGTTTTCCGCGTCTGTACCCTACAAGCCAGGCCCTTCCGGAGACCTGTTGACGATGAACAGGCACCGTTCCAAGGACAATTCACCTCGGTTTATCCCAGCCTCCTCCTAGAGCCGAGGGCGGATGACGCCATTACAGCTGGGTTTGCCGGTTTTACTCAGCGTGTTGAGGCGAGCCTCTATCCCTCGGACATCAGAGGCAGGGGTTGCCAGGTTGAAACCCATATTGGACCACTAGCCCCGCCTAAACCCACAGGTTTCGTCTGGGCTGGTGGGAAGTCCAAATTCTGGGGTAGACTTATGGTCTGGCACCGGCAAGGCCTCCGCATTGGTCTAAGTCCCAAGCTTCAGCAGGTGGTCCAATCCCACCTTTCCCAACTCCTTCTCAATTGGGAGGAATGCGATGCATTCAGGTGCCAGACAGCGGTTAACCTCATCCAAGAGCACTTTGGAAAAGAAGGGCCCAAAGCCAAAGAGGTCAGACAAATCATCGAAACACAACGAAAACTTCACCTGAGGAAAGCACATCAGGAACAAGCCAAAAAGTACGAGGCCTGGCTCCAAGGTGATGGGAAAAACCATCTGCGCCACCTTTACCGGGCACTCAAGACTGAGGAAAACACCACTACTCGCCCATTTGCGAACCTTGCGGTGGAGGTTAAGCCTCACGCCAGAAGGGCATGGTGGGCTGACATGTGGGCCCCAAGTGGGTTGAGCGGCACTCATGGCACCGACCCTCGCTTGGCCCTGCAGAACCAAGCGAGGAAACAAGCAGCCAACCTCTCGCCCATTTCGGTGGAGGAATGGAATTCCCTCCTAAAAAAGGTCCCAAACAAAGCCCCAGGCCCAGATGGGTGGTGCTATGAAATGCTCCGAGCATTACCTCATGAAGCCATTCTTGAATTGGCTAGCATGGTGCGCCAATGGGAAATCGAAGCCCAGTTTCCCCAGCACTGTGATATCACACAGTATGCCATGCTCCCCAAAAATGAAACATCCGAACGGCCTATTGGGTTAACCCATGTCCTCCACAGGGTATTTTGCAAGGCGAGATGGCACCTTATCACAGAGTGGGAGAACAGTTACAACCCTACCTCTCCCTGGAATCAGGCAAAGGCAGGGAACAGTTCCCTTGACACGGCCCTTCGCCGCCTAATCAGGGCTGAAACAAACAAAAGAGAGAAGCGTCACACCATTACACTTCTCCTTGATCTAACATCCTTCTATGAGACTGTCCCACATTGGCAGCTCCTAGCCCAGGGTGTCCGACACTCCTTTCCCCCGCTTCTACTTGAAAGAGACACTCCTTTCCCCCGCTTCTACTTGAAAGAGCGTTAAGCCTTTACTCAGGCAGCCGATACATAGAAGCGCAGGGGAGTCTGTCTCGCCCCATCCGAGCTACAAGAGGTCTCATAGCAGGTTGCCCTCTCGCCCCTGCTCTTTCCAGAGTTGTGCTCCACGATCCGATCTCGAAGATGCACTCTGCCTCCCCTGTACACCACATCGATTTGTGGGTGGACGATTGCTCAGCAGATTTTGTCGATTCTCATGCGCCGACAGTCGCTGCTCAAGCCATCACGTGTTACAGGGAGCTTAAAGCTGACCTCGAGAATCAGGGCCTGATGGTCAGCACCACCAAAACGGCTTTCATCTGCTCAAACAAGGCCTCTGCCAGAGAGCTGCAATCCTTGCTTGAAGAACATGACCCCCCCATCAAAACCTTAGGCAAGGACCTTGGTCTGGATTATGCTGCGGGGCAGAGGAGGCGAATCACAGTGGCCAAAGGCAGGCACGCTAAAGGAGGGCAGCGAGCCAGAAAATTAACCAAGCTGCAAGTCAAAAGCACTAGCATCAGAGTTAGACTCTTCAACGGTTCCATCCGGTCCTCTGCCTTGTATGGGCATGAAGGGGTTGGGGTAGCGCCTAAACGGCGCAAATGGTTCAGAAGTTTGCTGGCTGCAGCCTTGGGCAGACCC